GTTATAGAATGGTAGAACAAAGTTTTTGTTATAGAATGGTAGAACAAGAGTTCTACTATCAGAATCTCCATGATTTGTTCCGTTAGGTCTTTCGACTTTGTTTCGAAACATATATTTTTCTCTCAGATGACACAGACCTGGCCATTTTAGAACCAAAGATTTTTCCAGTGCCGTTAAGACATTGGGTATTATTCAAGTCTCAAAAAAATCTCATTTTCATTTATTCACTAAATGTCCACGTTGTTGTTCATTGTCTAGTGGCTTTGGGGATAAGTGTGAGGGGATATAGCTGTGGGTCTTCTTCAGGGATGCCAGATCTTCCGATTTGGCAGGAAAAGTTCCGATTTTTGGACTTTTTTCCGATAGCTTTCCGACGTTCTGATTTCTTCCGATTTTTGAGCTTTTTTCCGATCTCATTCCGATTTCCTGATTTTAGGAATTTTTTCTAGATTCAAGGTTTTTTTAGCATTTATCTAAATTTTCTTTAGAACCTGTTACTAAATGTAGAGTGTGCCATCTTTCTTTTCATGTAATTATTGGGTAGTTCTTTGTCCAAATTGTAAACTTACTATCAGATGCTTAAGTGTACTGGCAACTCTTTCTTTACTAAAGTCAATGTTTTATGTTAACAAAAAATTCAATTTTCTATTTAGATAAACAAAATCGTTATCGAAGTGAAGTGTCTTGACTTTCTCCTTTGTTGTGCTTTATTTGTTGTATTTCAAGTATAATAAAACTGAATTATGGATGATTTGCTGGAAGATATATGTATTTGTGAAAATGATAATGTAGAAAATGAACAACCAGTAACAACAACAACAACTATAACAAAAACATTAACATCTACTGTTCAAATGCAAAAGAAAAAGAAAGGTGTTTTTCGTAAAGAATGGTTATCTATGAAAGAATACTCGAAATGGTTACAAGAAGTCAAAACTGATTCAACACAAGCTCGATGTAAAGCCTGTTTAAAAACTTTTTCTGTTCGTTGTGATGGTAAAACAGCACTTGATAAACATATGAATCGTGATGCACATAAAACATCAATGAAAACATTTGAAAAATCTACATTAATCACAACACTTACAATTCCGGCAAGTGAATCAGATAAAATTTCAGCTGCTGAAGGTGTGTTGGTGTACCATGGAGTTAAACATGGGCACAGTTATGTTTCACAAGAATGTGGAACTAATTTGGTAAAAACACTATTTGAATCATCATCATCAGTAGCAAAATCGTTATCATGTGATAAAACGAAATCTAGAGCAATTGCATGTAATGTATTTGGACCATATTTTACAAAAAAAATAGTTGACGAAGTATTAGAAGCACGTTTTTATTCATTATCATATGATTCTTCAAATAAAGGAAACTGCAAGACATATCCATTTACTGTACAATTTTTTTCAGATGTTGGTGTTAAAAGGGGTAATTATTTTTAGATAGGTGGAAGTGTCTATTTGCTTTATGCTTCTGTATGTTTTTTTTCATTTAGCACTTATTCAGCTCATTGAAGATCCATATGAAACAGCAGAAGATATATTTCAAAATGCGTGTAAAGTAATAAATGATTTTCAATTAAAAATTGAAAATTTGACAAGCGTTGGTGCTGATAACACCAACGTAAATTTTGGTGAGCATCATTCAGTATTTCAACTATTTAAAAATGAAGTACCACATATTGTACAAGGTATACTTAAACGTTTATCATATATTGAATTTAATAGACTCTAGTTCAAAATATGTATTCACTTTGTTTTATTCTAGGAAACTGTTATGCACATATATTACATAATGCAGCTAAACATGCACACGACGTTTTACCAATTGACATTGAAAGCGTTTTATGTAAAATTTATTCCCATTTTTCAAGATCAGCTAAACGAATCGAAGAATTAAAAGCATATTATGAATTTGTACAATCTGAATATAGTGTAAGTAATAATAGAACATATCCGAGAAAATAGATATGAGGAGAGTTCATAAAAATTATATTTTTTTAGACGTTATTGCAGCATATTCTTACGAGGTGGTTAAGTTTATTGCGTTCTGTTGAACGTTTACTTGAAAAATATGAACCTATAAAATTGTATTTTTTAAATCAACCAACAACAATAAAAAATGAACAACTCTTAAAGTCTTTCTTCGATAGTACTGATGGTTTATGTATTTTAAATTTTTTACAAAATCTATTAAATGAAATTCAACGAGCTGATTTACAACTACAACGTACATATACAACAGCAGTTGATCTTCATCGTATAATTAGTGGTTTAGTTAAAAAATTACAACAAAGATTACATGATAAATATTTCGGTAATAGTACACACGAAATATTGAAACAATTACAGGAAATTGATGCAAATAAAGCTGAAGAATTGAAACAATCATTTGAATCATTTATTAAAACTGTTATTGAATATATTAAATCTTATTATGATGATGATACAAGACAGTTTTATGAAAAATTATCATTTTTTAGTTATCAATCACTTGAATTTCTTGCATGGGAACGTCTTATGGATGTTGCTGATTTAATTAAAGTAAATGATTTGAATAAAGATGAATTGTATAGTGAATATTGTGAAATCAGAGTTTTATACGACAATTTAATAAAAACAGATATTAAATTAAGTGATCAAATCAAGTCGTATATCTCAAGTAAGAAAGACTATGTTCCAATATCAACAGTAAATGATAATTCAGATAGTTTATATGATAATAATGATGAAGAAGTTGAATTAGTACACAAAAATCAGAAGAAAGATGAATATGTACGATCCGATCACTTCTGGTCTTATTTACTGAATATCAATCCAAATTCAACACCAAATATGAAAAAAATTATATGTTATATATTTTCGATTCCTTGTACAAATGCATATGTAGAAACAATTTTTAGTCATATGAAACATGCATGGTCTGATTATCGGAATCGTATGGATATCGAATTAGTTGATGCTGAGTTGAAAATAAGAATGAATTCTGATTATCCTTGTGCATATATGTATAAATATCTTTTATCTCAACCTGATATATTGAACAAAATTCGAACAAATGAAAAATATCAACAAAAGAAACGTCGTAATATTGAATGAACTTTGCTTTTTTACATACATTTTAATGAGGTGTATATATATACTTACGCTCGTTTTTCTACTTTTTTGGTCAAGTTAATTCTCATATTGTTTTTGTAAAAAAAAGTGAGTACTTAGATATGCTACTTATGCTAGTGTTTTTCGAAATTACTCAACCAAAAGTATATTGTTATTTTTTTACTTTTTTTGGAATGAAATATGCTTCAAGATGATGTTTGAAAGACTAAATGAAAGAGGTCAAGTAAATTCTATTGATGTAAAACAAATTTTATGTATTTAAGCATGAAAAAAACACTCTCCGATTTTTTCCGATTTCAAAAAAATTTTTTCCGATTTTTCCGATTTCGACAAGTAGATTTTCCGATTTTTAATTTTTCGATCTGGCAACCCTGTTCGTGACAGTCGTTACTGCGTATATATATATATATTTTTTTTAATTAATTAATTTATCTATTCTTAGAATAAAATCTACATCTATTGATAAACTCTATTATAATATAAAAGATTTATTGCCTAAGTATATTATCATTTTTCTGTTACGTCGTATTGTCTCTAACTGATATATTAAATTATGACCAAGTATTATATGTGTACCCTTCCTACTGGATCATGCATTGGGTGTAATGCAAGTTTGTTTCGAGGTGATACTGGACAGCGATCAAGAACAAGAAACAAAAAGCTGTAACAATGAAAACAAAAATATCACGTCGTATTTTTGATGGTTATCATATAATTTTGCGACATCATCATAGTTTATGTTCAGATTGCATTACACTTGATGTTTCTTAATGGATTACCAATATCAAAGATTCATCGATTGAAATAAATAGATCAATATCTAGTCTATTATCAAAGAAATTGAAACCCAAAGACAAAAGACCATTGTTATCTGTCAAGTTTGAAGATATGAAGGAAGATCAATGTAAAATGTTTTGCAGGCTTTCGAAGCAACAGATACTGGCAATAGCATCAATAATTAACTCCTCGAGCCAAAATGTTTTCATATTTTTTACCATTATGTTTCGTGGAATTAGTCAGATATTTTCAGGTACTTTATTTGGATTAACTCAACCAAGAATATCACAGATATTTCATGAAACTGTCAAGAAAATGTCAGAAGTTTTCGTACCATTGTATATTGGATCTGAAGCTTTTCAACGACATGACATTATCCACAATCATTCTCCAGAATGGGTGAAAGTACTGTTACCGAATGCTGTTGCTATAATAGATTCTACATATGTGTATGTACAAAAGTCTTGGAATTTTAATAATAAAAAGAAAAGCTATTGACAGCATAGGGCCGACAATTTAGTAAAAATGATGGCTATTATGTTGCTAGACGGAAAATGGTTCGATATATACGGCCCATATTTCTCAGACGGATACAATAATGATGAACTCATATGGAATACTCTGAGCGATGATAAAGTAGAAGATTATGAAAACAAAGATTTATTTGCTCAAAGTCAACAGCTTCATGCAATATTCTCCAAGAATGATATGTTTATCGGTGACAGAGGTTTTGCAAGATGTAAAGGAAAATGGAGTTTATTTACACCTGATTCCATATATAAAGGTGAAACACAGCTGTCAACTGCAAAAGCAAATCAAACAAGGTATATAACTAGAGTTCGTAATGCTATTGAACGAGGCTTTGGAAGATTAAAACAATAGAATTTTATTGGTTCTGTTGTAAATACTGATTTTATACCTATTATAGGTTCAATAAGGAGAATACTATGTGCTGTTGACAATGCTTACTTTTCTAATTTGGTATTAGATAATAATGACGCTCTTGAACATGCTCAATATATGATAAGAAATATACAATTAGAGAATGAAGTTGTACACATGGAAGCTAATACAACTGGTTGGAGAAAAGCCAACACAAGCGATATATCAAGTATTATTACGTCCTACAACGAGAATGATGTAAAACAATGCAGTGGTGAATATTCAGTAAGAATAGCACATGCATATTTAGGACATATTCAACAACAGTGGTCTACTTACATCCACCTTGATTTTCCATCAACAATTAAAATAAAAAATATTATATCAAGATACAAGACAACAGACAATCCAAAGAAACATACTGTATGGATACGATTTGGTCATAATAAACTTCACGATATTGCTTCTTATTGTACTTGTAAAAGCAGTTTGCGTACTGCAGGTGGTACTTGTTCTCACGTAATCGCAGCATTAATCGCTTTAAATTATTGGAAAAACAACAAAAAAAAAGCAAGTTTTTATACAACAGCTGCAGCATTATTTTTGAACGTTTTGGATTGTACCACATACAAGAAAAGCAAAATGGAGCAAGCATTAGAAGAATATTACGGAGAGAGTAGTGATACTGAAAGCTAAACAACATCAATAAGCCAAGAAACAGCAAGTACTAAAGTAACGGATGAAGAATGTACCAGTAACGAAATGTCTGATGAAGACTCTATGGATGCTCAGACTACTGATGTACAATTCACAAGTAGTGAAACGAGCGATGAAGATGCAAGATATGAATTGTATACAGATGAAACGCAGTGAAGAAATGATAACAGTTAAATATCTTTCAAAAGACCAATTTATTCTTTAGAATATTTCAAAAGCACCAAGAACTGTTGACTATTATTACTCCTTGATGATTTTTTCTAACTTGTTGAATTCTTGTTTTGCTCGAGAGCTTTTTTCTATAGCCACTTGAGTATCATTTCAAATTTGTTTACGAAGTTTCTTCAAGAAATAAGAATAAAAAAAAGGTTTCTTACAGTAATTATATATATCATCCTCTGCTATGCATCATCATGTCATTAAAACATGAATAGACTTCACAGATAAATTATCATTTAAGTACTCTATATACCATTTTGCAGAGTGAAAAAATCTCTATAGTTCTGTATATTTCGATTATATTTCAGGTTGACAAACACGAGACCATAAATACTATTTTAGGCAGCACTATAAAAAAATATGTGAAAAATTTTTGTTGCAACTTTGATAAGTCAGATCATAACTCAAATATGAAGGAAAATGAAATAGAATATGCAAGTGGGTGTTGTGGATAGTCGAGTGATATACACCCTACTGGATCAGGTTCTGCCTTTATCCAACAGGATTTAGATTCTTATATAGGGGGCCTACATAAAAAAATGTGAAATCGGTAGTTTTTCAATTTCAGTTTTCTCCCACGGTGCACAAGAGAATTCAATAATATATATACCACGAGATAGAGGAAGTCTTCCGCTATAACCCTATATATATCCCATCTTTTGGTCAAAACCTTATATTCGCTTTTCATAATGAACAAAGAATATTTTCTCAACTTTTGTTTTTTTTTTTGAATACTATTTGATAGATTGAAGGCTCTACTTTATTCTATCATTTTTTTTGCCTTTATTTTGCATCAAAATATTTCGAGTCATACCTTTTCGATGGAAAAAGAAGCTTTCTACATGTTAATATGCTTTATAAACAGCAAAAAAAATATTGATAGAACCTCGAAAACTTCGAAATATTTATGAATTTCTATAGATTTTACAGAGAACCTACATATTTCAGGTTTGATAGAATCAAAACTCAACTCAAAATATATCATTCGATAGAGAAGAAAAAACTGAATCGAATCATGTACTTCATTCTCAAAATTAATTAAATAAACAAGTATTAATTATAAATTACAATAAGTCACTTTTATAAATCCGTCATTAATCTCAATTTTTCAGAAGAAATATCATGTTGAAGATCTTCTTCTTTCAAAGGCACAGGCTTGCAAAGGATTAAAAGTTCCTTTTTATGTATTGATTAGACGAAAAAAAAAATTTATATATCGAATAGACATTTTTTCCTTTTTGCATTGGAAAAATGTTCTTGAAGAAAATTCAATTCTCTACAACCCTATATCTATAAAAAAAATCTCTGAGATGATATTCTTTCTCAAAATATCGAGATTAATGAAGAGCTTATATAAATGGCTGATTGTAATCTGCAATTAATACTTTTTTATTTAATTTATTTTAAAAATCAAGAACATGATTCAACTCAATTGTTTCTCCTCTATCGAATGATATATTTTCAGTTGATTTTTCATTTTACCAAATCTGAAATATATAGGTTCTCTGTAAAACCTATAGAACTTTATGAATTTCGAAGTTTTCGAGATTCTATCAATATTTTTTTTTCATTTATAAAGCACATCAACATATAGAGAGCTTTTCCTTTCTATTAAATGAGACATGACTCAAAATATTTTCATGCAGAATAAAGATATAATGAAAAAAAAACTACAAAGATCCGAATAAACTTTTGCATAGGAAATAAAGTAGAGACTTCGGCCTATCGAATAATATAAAGATAGTTGAGAAAATGTTCTTTCTTCGTTGTCAAAGTTGTTCTACAAGATGGATATTACAAGGTGTCCAAATAATTATTTTACATATTGTATATCTGTTGACAGATTCAAACAGTTGATTAAAGAAGGATAAATGAAAGTAATAATATTCTTTAGCGATTCTTTTTTAGAACTCAAGTATAGTAGTAGCTACATATATGAAAAAAGAAATATTCGATGTCAAACAGCAATATATGCATGTAGAACATGAGGATATGTGTTATATAGAAATCATAAATAATCTAAATGGACAATATAGTTATCGAGAAACAGGTATGATTCATTTCTATCAGTTAGGATGAAAAAAAGATAAAAGTAATTTCTGATGATTTTAATACAGGATATTTCATAACTCTTGAAGCGAGAGAAAATTAGTTAATCTATAAAAAGGAAATAACTCCTAGCCAAATGTTTTTTTTATGAGCCCTGCCTCCTCTCGGCTTTTCAAATGACATATTATTAAATAATATCTTCTTTTGAAATGATAAAAATAAAAACATAAGAATGTGGCGATAAAATTTTCACAATCGATCAACAAGATATTTTATTAGAAAAAAAACGAAAAAATACTATTTTATAAAAACATATATTAATCTGATTACACAAAAAATCTTAATTAACTATTACATATTTGTTGTTCATCATTTCTAATTAATTTGCCAAGTCTCTTAGAAATTTTATCAATCATTTTTGGACAATTATTACAAGTTGTTATTATTATTTCATTCTTTGTTCAATCTAGTTTTATATTGTTTAAAACTTGAAAATTGTTCTGATCATACAAATTTTTTGTAATATTTCTTATACACTTTCAGTAGGTCATATATCAGCAACTTTATGCTATCACCTTCTTGAGATAAAACTCGATTATTAAATAATTCATCAATAGTTCAAAATGCTATTATTAATTGTTCTTTGTATTTTATTCTACACGTGACGTTTTCATATATTTTTATCTATTTCAATCCAATTATTGAGTACATATTTTGACTGAACATGTAATCAGTGGATTGTGATGAGCGCGAAATAAGCGAATAAGATAAATAATTATTGATTTCTATTTTACGATGTTTTATGTAGAAATGTTGATCACTTTATTACAAGATCTTTTAAAAAAATCATGTTGATCGATTGAGAAAATTTTATCATCATATTCTTGTGTTTATATTTTTATTGTTCTAAGAGAAGATATTATTCAATAAATATATCAATTAAAAGATTGATATGAGTGAGTATTCAAGGCTCCTATAAGAATATTTGGTTAGGAGTTATTTCCTGTTTATAGATTAAATAATTTTGTCGCGCCTCAAAACTTATGAAATACTAAATATAGGACTTTTTTTTTTTTATAACAGCAATATTTTTTTCAATGAGAAATTATACAGGATGACCAGAAATGTACACAACAATTATTTTTAATTATAACTTTTTATTATAACAATTTTTATTTTTTGAACTTGTGTTATTTTTGTTGACAAAATACAGTGATTTAAAAATAATACGGACAAGGTAAGTGAGAACCTTTGCTTAATATCACTATTGGTCTCAATAAGAAAATTTTACGTGGTCATAAATAGGAAAAGAAAACAATATAATTACTTACCATAGGTTCACACTAATCTCATCCGTATGAATTTGAAGTGTGAGCATGTCTTTATCTTTGGTAAAAAAAATCAGCTTGTTTATCGGAACCATAATGGAGATATTCAATTTTGTTTTCCGATAAAGTGACTTTTGCACCATCCTGTATATTCTTTTTTTCTTATTTATGACCAAGTAAAATTTTTTGTTGAGATCAGCAGTGATACTTAACAAAGGTTCTCACTAATCTTGTCCGTACTATTTTCAAATTTCTGTATTTTGTCAACAAAAATAACATAAGTTTAAAAAATAAAAATTGTCATAATAAGAAGTTATAATTAAAAACAATTGCTGTATATCTTTCTGGTCATCCTGTAAATAGATTTGCACTTTGAAAAAGATCTATCGAATGAGTAAGATGAGAAAAAATGTTCATTTTCATTTTAAAAGCAAAAATCTCTTAGAATATGAAAGTGTATCCAATTTCTCAAAGCTAAATTATGATATTTTGTAGATGACTCAAAGTCTCTTAAACTCGAGAGTAGCTCTTTAAATTCGGTATCAAAATGTCGGCCTAAACGAATACTTTTATTGTGCATATGATTCATTTGGATTGGAAGGAACAAGTTCAATGGATCGATTTGTGATCTTATGTGTTCATGTATTTTATTGAATAAAATAAAAGGGTTCTAGGTTTACAATATTTCAGGCAACTTCAACGATTCTGTTGGATTTTTCAAATCGTGTCTTAATGTCTGTGCGAGTATTCAATGTATCTGTTGGAACAACTGCATTATTTCTTCTCGATCGACGGTACAAAAGTTTTCCTATGAATGTTTGAGTTTGGAATACTTCCATAAACGCTTGAGAAGGCAAAATGAAGAGAAAGAAACTTGCTGCTGGTGGTATATGAACAAGCAAAGCAAATGCAATGTTCATCCTTAACAACCATTTGCTGTTGATATCGACACAAGAAAAATGTAATGTAAGTATCATTGAAGGTAAAAGAAAGATCTGAAAGAAAGAAAATTTATAATAGTTAACAAGAAGCAGATAACATACCACAGTTAATGTGGGAGAAACGAAGAGATGACTATGACGATGAAACTGTCTCATCCACTGTGACCAATAAGTTGTTCCATGAATATGAGCTCTTCGACGGCTAATTGAAGCTAAAATTAAGCAGTTGGCAAACATATTAAGTATAACTGGCACGAACACATGGATCAATGAGAATGCTGTATTTATTACCAATGTTGAGTCTGAGTATTTAATTTGACAGACAAATTTGCCTGGAGCCACTGGATCAGGTAGTATCATTCGGGCCATGAACTCGGGCACATGCATCAATGTTATGCCAATTGTTATAGTTGTCATCACTATGAGTCCAGCTATTCGAGAACGAATTCTATTCCACAGAAATCCCAATTCAAATGACTGAAGAGCTCGTTGTATTGCAATAAGTCCATCCATCCAAAGAGAAACTTTAGTAAGTACCGACGATGCAGGAGTTGCTCCTTTGCATATGGAAAAGAATGCTGCATAGTTAAAAGAGTCTGATAATTGACTGAGACGAACTTCAAGTAAAATAAGAACAAGCGCTGAACAACAACTGTAAAGAAGGAGATGCAATCCAACAGAAGTTGATCTTAACTGTGCTTGACGAAATGTATCGATAGACAATATATTCGAAAATAGAGCAAATATGACCATAACTGTTATAGGAAAAACATATAAAAATGTCGCTAGGTCTGGATTCATACCGGATGTTTTAATATCTGTCTTTATACTTGACACAAGACCAATAAGAAATATATTGACTGAATTATTACAACTCATCTTTGACTTGAAATACGAAATTGACCTTGAATTGATTTGATGAGATGAAGAAAATAACACTTACGTGTTTAAGATGAATATAAGAAAAGAGAAAATGCTACAAGATGCTTCTGAAAAATATTTTCTTTTATACTTGAGCATTGGAAGATAATTTTTTTGCGAAGAAACCATTATTTCTATAGGTGAATTGAATATAGAATTACGAGAACCAATAGAAAAGCTATGCCTCTTGCTTAAAAGAAACCTGTGAGTGGCATGTGTTGCTTAGCATTTTTGTCGTCAAGGATCATGAAATTTTTTGCTCATTAATGGTTTCTAGCATACTAATATCAATGAAACAACAGGAAATCGCTCCGAGATCCGCCAGTTTATACTTTTCTTGTGATATACGAAATTCATTTCTTTGAAAAATCAAAGAATAGATAATTGTCTCTGGATGAGAAATGATGTAACAACCTTGTATTTTGCTATTGACAACAACACAGCTTCTCTTTTAAGAAAAAAAGGCAGAAAGAACATCTATGATGATCAAATACATTGTGGTTTCATTACTGGATAATTCTTCTGTCACTTCTTGATATGTTTAACCAAACACTAATTTGAACTCCTTGAAAGTGTTTTATCTAAACACAAGTTTTTGAAGCAAAAGTTTATTCTAAGAGGTGGTGCATAAAGAACCGGACAAAATATTTCCCTCCTTTTAGGACTCTTTCCAAGGCATTAAAGACTCCATTTTAGGCTCATTCGATAGAGAATTTTTCGCTATACAAAACTGTTGATTTTGTTTTTCAAATAAGTTTTTACTTTTGACGACATATCGAACAGATTGATGGCGTCTCAACCGTCCAATTGCGACTGTTGGAAAGCAAAACAATTATTAAAATTTTTTTTAAGTAACAGCTCTGCCGAAATTCGAACTATGCTGCAAGGTACTCTGTGAAATTCTGCATCTGATGACATTGAGCACTTTTAGAAAAAAACTTTTGGAAGAACAATTTTTTTAGCAAAAACTAGAAACAACACAAAAGTTCTGTTTTTGACAGGTCAATGTCATTCTTTGTTTTTAATTCAGGAGAATCTAAAGATTTTTGTTGTTTGCTATATACGTTACACCATTTTGTTCAGAATGAAATTCTGCATTTAATAGGATAATAATAAACTAATCATAGAGCACAGTTGACTTTTGAAGAGGCGAGTTTCGAAAGCGCGTTGAAAACAAAATCTTGCCAGGTGTTAGTTTTAAACCTTTTGTTTCTTACAACATCATCGGAAGCCTTGAAAAGATCTTGGAAGCATACATCAAAAAATTGTCTATCTATTGATGTTGAATACTTTACATTTATCATCAAACTTGATGAGCACAGATTTATACAAGTCGATCAATGTTCGAAGAAAACGTTAGGAGATCGAAATTGAGCACCTGTCATTCTGTTCAATTTTCCGCCAAAAAGAAAAATTTATTCCAAACGCAAAATCGATAGTTTTGCCGAGCGAAAATATCTCTATCGAATGAGCCTAAAACTGAATCTTTAATACCGTGGAAAGTGTTCTAAAAAGAGGGAAACATTTTGTCCCGTTCTTTATGCGCCACCAGTTAGAGACTTGAAATCCGAGAAAAGTAATTCATGTGAAAATTTAGGCAATAAAGCTCACTTAAACTAGTTTATATTTCTTGCTAAAAAGAGTACATTTTAAGCAGTTGAAAGCGTTTACATTAACATATTTAATTGCTGGATTTCAACAAGGCAACACTTGTAGATGATTCACTTTTATTGTTGTCACCATACTGTTTCCATATGTTGAGAATCACAAGAATAACATAACCTTCAAAAGATTTCGACTCTCTTTCATATTTATTCGAGATAAAAACTTTTTTTACCGAACTTCTGCTGCATGAACAGCTTTCGAAATGAAAACATATTGTTGAATTTCGACTTGCACCTCTATACTAAGGTGGAAATAATATTATTCTAGGTGGTGACGGGAAGAGTACTACATCATTTTCTTTTATTATATAGTTTCAATTTATTTTTATATATACTAGTGCATAAATGTTTTGTTAAATGGTCTGCGAAAAACGGCTCTGAGTACTACACTAAGTACTGATATATCTGCCTATGAGTAAATCTCTAAAGAAAAACTCGTACAAGTACTCATTAGAGTTCACGAAGAGTATACATATATATCAAATTCCTCGAGTACTCATGCGAGTAATATGAGTACTCACGCTGGAAAGTCGTGCTCGCTTGATGAGTATTTTCACTAGGGGAGCCAAGGTGATTTGATGGTTCTTTGCTTTGACAAATTTGGAGAAGATCAACCAGAATGAAGAATAAGTTAACTAAAACAAAAAAAACAATAACATAAAGACCAGTGGCAAATATCATTGATAAGACGATGGAATGGCTAAGATCTACAGCACACTAGCAATTTCAAGCAAACAAAAACTTTCCATCATACAGTTTCTCAAGGAAAAAAGCGATTTCTATCTAACAGAGGTATCTGAAATGGCTATTCTTCGAGTCGGATCTGTGTGAAAGAGCAACGGGCCAGATGAAAAGATAAAAGGATACGATTTAGCAAAAGAACAAAAAAAAAGAAAATATTTCAAGTAATCCGAAACTTACTGGTCAGATGATATATCTTTGAGATTGTAGGGAAACATAGCCATATTACCGTCCTTATCAATATATATCGATGGAATATTAAATCGTTTAAATAATACACCAATCACGAACTGTTCAAAGGGAGCAAGTAAACGAGCATCAATTACAATATTTTCGCATGTCTGTTGAGAATGAAAGTATTTACTTAATGAATGATATAATCCCACCATCGAACGTTGAATATCATTGAAGACAATCTGATTCGAAAGTACTGCTTGTGAAAGTTCATGATAAAATTCATGATCATTTAATAACATTTGCATCGGCTCGTCTATGACGCTTGCAGAAGTCGGAGATGAATGTGAAGTAGACGATGATGATGATGATTGGGATTTTATTCGTTCACGAATAAATTCAATTGCACCTCGTAGATTAAATCGATGAGTAGCCTTCAAAAGTTCACTGGTTAAATACGTTGTTTGTCGTTGTCGATCAGCATCAATGGTAAGAAATTCACGTTGCATGTCTAAATTATCCATACGATGATAACCATCAAGTGTGGTGATATATGTCATAGCTTGAATATTGAATGCCATGCACATAGACGAAACATATTCAATAAGTAGATGGCCATATTGTTCCGATTCCACCGGTAATTTTGGTGGTACGAAACTGAATTGAATAGGAGGTTTGGACAATGATGAATGTGACCGCGAATAGATAATAGATGACATGCAATACCAACCGATGATAACCTGCATTTTGACATCGACCACGAATATGGTCGCCAAAAAACACGAGATAAACAATACATAGTAGGAAATAATCTACAACAAAATGCTCATTACAATCAATGAAAAGAAAGAATTCTATTTGCTCCGTCGACTGAAAAGAAGGATCATACACATACGGAATAAAATTCATATGAATGTATATGTTTGTCCGATTCCTGATTGTATGTTAGCGAACAACCAATAAGAAGTTATTTCGTGAAAGGGTACAATAGAGGACTTTCCGTACTGAACGAGACTAACAATCTGCAATTAAAGCTTGATCAAAGGTAGTTGAACATTAGAAACTCGAATCCAATGCAATGAGTTAATATCAGTTTTACTATTGCATAGATGTCGACATATTCTAGATGGCTAAATATGTTAGTATTGAAAATCATTATTTTGAGTAAAACCAGATGCTAATACATAAAGGTAGTTGTGAAGTCGTACGGTACGGAAGGAATCAGACTGTCGTTGGAAATATTTAATTTCAAAGAGACGAGACAACGAATGACGTTTGCTTATACCTACAAACAATTAATACTAATCGTCTGTTAGAAAATTCATTTAATCAATAGGAACGGTCATCAATATCGATTATAACATGGACAATGGCTGTAAAATCAATACATGTCACGATGAATATCTGATGCATTGTCTGTGATCAAAATAAATGTTTTCATTTTAAAACTTTCGGATGGTGAGTTTCGGAATGGATTCATAGAGTGATATAAGCCGTGTACCGATCGTGGAAAATATCGATCGCTGATAGGTAGTGGCTTTTCAACAAAGAAAAAGACCAGAGAAGCAAAACAATCTGAAGGAAAATTGGCTAAACGAACCCATGACATTTTTTTTAAAGATAGATGGAAATGGACATAGTGCTCGCTCAATAACAAGAATGGTAAACGTAATAGTTAAATCGAAAAATCATCCTTTTATCAATCATGTTTCCCTAAATGATGTCACTACTCGAGTTTCACTGGAAACCACTGAAAACTCTATATTGATAAACTATTAATGGATAAAGATAACTTCGTATAGCAATATTTGATTATCATTCCCATGTTTTATAACCATAACTAAAAGCAAGTGAATGAGCTACTTCAAATGTTGGTCAATATTCATCAGTAATAAGATATGTGCGTACAATAAATCAAGAGATTAAGCGAAAAAGAATAATACTAACTAAAATATTTTGTGTTTTATTTAATAACATCTGCAAAATCAAAATTGATTTTTAATTATAAATTGTATCAGTTGAAAGAATGGTTTTTTCTTCTTTTTTTTTGCTCTACTGACAAGTCGAATGAGACATTGTCTTGTATGTTTTCTTCGATCGCACGAAGAGTAAAAAAGGAAATATTTCGATGTCATACTAACAGACAATCATCTAACAACAACAAAAATAATCATAACAATACACGGAAAGAAAGAGAATACAGAAATTATGTTTTAGCAGCTTGTAATGGATCAGCATGAATTCTGAAAAAAATCAATATTATTATCAAGTTCTTTGTCTATTTCATCAATTAATGCAGCATTATCACCACGTACTATATAAAGACCAAGAAGAATTTGTTCAATACCGTTTGTTGAAGAAAATACACGTTCATGACTAAGGGTTGATCACTGAATCATTATTCAGTGTTTTTACGAATGATAAACTTTTATAGCGCCATTTGTTACATTCTATGATTCAGATTTTTTAAGGATGTATGGGGATGTCTGATAGTTCCTTTGTCAAGAAAAAATAGGATCTTTATCAGATCGAATATTATAACAATATTTTTATTAGAAATTTTTAAAGTAAAAAAACCCCCACGGACCGTCACTTAACCGCGGTTTACCGACGGTATTATCGAAACCGGTGGTATCTATATAAAAGTGACGCCATGGATAATGTGTGTTTATTCGATATGGTTGTATTTTCTATTTTTAACGGACATAACAACTGCATCAGAGCGCCGCGTCCTCTCTCGTTTTCCCTTCTTATTGAATGATGAGAAAAGAAAGAATAAAAGATGACCAGACATACATACGTATATATATATATATATCCATACATATGTGTAAGAGCACTGAAAAGTGAAACTATTCGTAAAATTTTAAAATTTTATTCTTGATCTCAACAACATCACCATTATATTCTACATTTCGTCGTTTGCCATTGTTTGTATTAAACTTTCGACAGTTTTGTACGTTAGTAGTTATAATTATCGTTTTCTTTTTAAACTATATACATTATGGATCCAAAAGAATTCTATTCATATGTGGAAACGAAATACACTACGAACTTTGCTAAATTTTTATGCGAGGATTTGGATATTGTAAACCAAATGGTAATGACAAATATGTCATTGACAGACATACTTGAAATGAGCCGATCTGCTTTTTCAAATGTACAACCAACCAGTATCAGATATTACATTGTTGATCCTAACAATAAAAATTCAGCAAAAGAATTGAGCAAAAGTGCATTAACAATGATAAAATTATTAAAAAAAACATTGCCTTCTGGTAACAAACGATCAGGTATATTTTCTTAATTTTGTTCATATGAAAATTTCAAACAAGAGCAAATCTAGAATCTTCTTCAGTGAAGACAGGAGCAATAGATGTCTTATTATGCCCGAAATGATATACTTCATTCCTTAACGTTTCCTATTTTCAGAGTCAATAAGACTTTGTAAGGAAGTGTCTCGATTGTCCTGATGTAAACGTGATACTCTTTTTTAAAATACGATATCAGTCATTTTTAAGAAAAGACGCTTTTGAAATGATAAGAATCTTAGTTTTTCAACATTGCAAAGATACTTGTGTGTTATTTATAGGTTATTGAAATATTTTGAAATGAAAATGTATCTTAAAATTAGTGGTGTAACCAGAAGGTGAACTGAGTTTACTCTAGAAAATTTCTTGCTTTTATAAAACGAAAGCAACGTTTCGTTACAGTTAGTACTACTATGAATAGAAATGAGTCTGACAAAGTACGTTCTATTCAGCATTTGAACACATTTCCTCGATGACAATAATAGCAGAGTGAATTTTTAACGTGGAATTTTTTTTCTCTTCACCAACACTACTCTCGCTACCAATCCATGCATGATCTATTTAAGAATTTTTCTTATTGGTATAGCCGTTTCATGGTGAACATGTTTGGTTTGGTAAATAGTAGAATAAATCTGTAACTAATGTTTTTAGTGAATTCCCGAACGTCTCGGTCGCATGAAGCCCAGTAAAAATATTAGAAGTTTGTTTATAATAAAACATGTCGATCTAGTTTTCATTTTAGACAGATTACGCCAGTTTTCATCAGGTTTGAGTGAATTTTAAAGTCAGAGAGGAATTTTTAATTTTCTTTCTAAGATATTATTTGCTGAAAGAAAAAGAGTGTAAACGTGAATTTAGATATGACTTATTCGTTCATATAAATAAGTAAAAAAGCTTGAACTTTCCAGTGAAGTCGGTATCAACTCCTATCTCTTTTTATTCTAGAATTTTCTTTTCAATTCGTCAGTTTTTTACGATAGGTAGAACTGACTGACGAACGGATTAACAGTTTACTTCAATAACTATTCTCAGTCATTTCAATCACTCGACACAGTTCGAAACAGTCGTGTCTCTATTCAAGTCAGCTGAGACTCAATTGATATCAGTGAAAATCGAAAGCTGTTTTTTGAAACTTTTCCTTATAAATGCATATTTCTCAATTACAGAGTGTTTTTAAAAACTTTTCTAACTTATGACATGTTAAGTTCAAATCATCGCTGTGAGTAAAGGGTAACGATATTATAGTTCAATTCATTTTATTTCATTTGTACACTTCTGCTCTAGATAAAAAGTCTCAATTTATACTTTCACACTGTTCGGTTACCACTCGATCAACATTTTGTTTGAAAGTTTTTACTCTAAAACTTCCAAGCGAAAAGTGAATTTTTTTCTAATGATTTATGCAGTAGAGTTGTTCTTTTATAGACGTTTTTCTTTGTTTTTATCTTGTGCATAATTTTTTTTTTCTTATATTCCCTGGATATTTGTAGTGTTAAAGTAGTATATATATCGTTTATCTGATATGTGCATAAAAATGTTATAGATATCAGTGTTTCTGGATAAATAGTGAATACACATGGAAGAGTACGTGTGTCGTTACTCTTATCCAAGAAGTTGAGTGAATAATATTTTTACGATTGAATATTTCAAACGAATCAAATGAGAACTTTTTCTTTGAATTAAAGTCAGGTTTATGTTATCTGATAAAATCTAATAAACTACTTGTGTAAAACATTATTTCGCGACCTTTTACCTAATAGTATTTTCCACTAAATTTTCTTTACAAAAAACATTTGTGTTCACTAATGTGTTTCATTAATGAAAAATTGGTAAACATATAAGATCAACATTGATCAAATTTATATTCCTCTCATAAACTTTTTATTAAGCCTCCATGTTAAATTTCTGGAAACGATACTAAAAGATTTTTCTTATTTGAGAGGATCTATGGTAACCTAAATTAAATTTTTCATGAGATTTTCAAGCGTTAGTATGTAGATCAAGTTCAATTATTATTAAAAGTAATTCTGTTCGATTTAAAAAAAATCTATAATTTTTTAAAAGTATTATGATAGGCGAATGAAATCTTCTAGAAAATGAATTTAAAAGTATGCTAATCTAATAATATCTGTGAAAGATGCTTGAAGTATTTTGCGAAACGAATATCACCATAAAATGCCTTATTTTGAGTGAGATATTTGAAATAAAGTAAAATTTCAAACTATAATAGAAACAATCAAAGATGTTTACATATTAAAGTAAATAACGCACGTTATTCTAATATCATTTTAGGTGGTCAAATAACAACATCAACAACTGAAACAGACGTGAACAGTGATGGTGATAAAGAAAATCGTCGGAAAATATCACGAGCAAGTACATCAAATGATAAATTAAATGATAAACGACGACGTCGTAAAGTAAGATTCCTATGTTCTACAGAGAAATTTCATTGTTGAATATAATGATCACTTTAAAAATCGGAGTGAAGTTGATGAAAAAAAATGATGTAAAACTAGTATATAAATATAAAACATTTATTTTTATTGATGAAAGGAAACTAATGGGATTGAAAATGTGATGTTGCTGATAGTGATCAAGAAAATTTCAAGAATATAATTGACTAGTTCGACTAGTTCTTTTTTTAAATTGGAAACAAGAAAATAAGCGCGATGATTTTCTTCATTCCTCAAACTTGATCTTGAAACAATAAATAAAAATTATTCTTCTCTATCTTTATTCGCTTTGATTAGATGTAGTTTTACATACCAACCAATTTGGAATAAGCTTTTAAAAGTAATAAAACTTCAATCTATAGATAAGGAATTTTTCTCGTTTATTACTTTTACTCTTCCACTGGTTTTCAATCTTATGTTAGCAGTTCAGAAAGTTCGATTCTATTCTAAGTTTTCTTTCACTCGAATAGATAAAACGATCACTATCAGAATAAGAGATTAGATCATAATCAGCATATGGAAATACTCTATGTTCAGTTTGTTTTTTTATTATCACAATTTCGATGTTTAGTTTAGATTTATAATATAGGTTTATATTTTCAGATTCAGCTATATGAAATGCGTTAACTTGCAATATCCAGTCAAGAAATTTTTAGTTTGAAAAGCACACTGTTCTTTTCGATTTAATTTTTATCAAGAAGAATATATTTCATTTGTTTTTTTAGTGAAAATACCTTGTTTTGATCAGAAGATATTTATTTAAAAAATAAGCACATCGAACGTTTCTTAGAGAAACAAGATTTTCTTCGAAATCAATTTTTCTTTTGAAAACATCAACGAATAAATTTATATTTTTAATGTTAAATTCGAAATGTTTTTAGGCTTCTAAAGTTCCAGTTCAAATATAAAAATGATCATGTCATCAAAGTTAATCAATTATTTAGTCGTTTATAGATTACTTTGAGAAGTGATAAGATGTTGAAAAGAAATATGTTCCTAGAAGATCATCGCCTAATTTTCGATTCGACTAGGAAGAGAAGAAAATTTCGCTTTCTCTATGTTGAATATTGACAGAAAACCGACAGTTAAGAAGAGTTTTATTGTCTTCCTTATCGTGACAAACTGATAGTTTTCACATTCATTGTAGTTTACTGCTAATTGTAATTCTATTTAGTTTTTTTTTTGCAAGGATAAGCTTTTCGCTCATATATGGGTTAGATAAATTAAATTATTACCGGAAAATATTTTCTTAGAAATGTGTGTAGTATCGACTTTACGTCCAAATGACAAAAAGTATCTTCACTTATTTTTCTTTATTCTCAAATGAAAGATATACAGGGTGTCCGGAAATTTATCTACCAAAAAGAAAATTGAATATCTTCATTACGGCTCGGGCAAACGACCTGATTTTTTTATCAATGACAGAAGCACGTTCAAACTTTATATTCATAAAGACAAGCCTAGAGAGACTCTTTGTTAAGTATTTTTTTTTTCTGTATCTGTGAAAAAGTAAAATTCTTTTGTTGACGTCAATAATGATACATAAAAAAGGATCTCTCTAGGCATATCTTTATAGATATAAACTTTGAAGATGCCTCTATCATTGACAAAAATATCAGCTCGTTTACTCAAGCCGTAATGAAGATATTCAATTTTCTTTTTGGTAGATCAATTTCCGGACACCCTGTATTTAATAATCGTCTTGCCGACATAAACAAGACATTTTGCGTCTTTTATGAGTGATGTGAAGTTGTATATTTTCTCTAGTATAACTGCGATACTTGTCGAAGTATGTAGCAAGATAATTCGATCCCCATACCAAAGTACATGCTGGATGTGGTTAAAGAGTTTTTCTTCGACTTCATTGATTTTCATTGATAGTTATATCATAAAAAGAGAGATTTTGTCAAAATTTCGCAAGATACGAAGCAGTTTTAGACAACGAGTTAAACAATACAAAATAATTATTTTAAAAAATTTCAGTTTTTCACTATAGGAGAAAAATTGAGCACATTTTTTATTGGTTTAGTTTCTCGTGAAGAACAATATATTGATAATGTTCAAATAGTGATTTCGATAGATTTCGAAAGCGGACTAGAAGACTGAAGTATGGACATATTTCTAAGCACGAATATTTAATGCATTATTAGACAAGAATATTTTCTCTAGCGGAAAAAAACTTTAGTATATTTTTCGTAGTTAGTTGATTTTTTTATTGTTTTACGATAGTTAAAAACTATTAGTGGTTAATTAATGAAATTTTGATTTCTTTTCCACTTCTGCATTGACCATATAAACGAGAAATAAGAGTTGATCAAAACTGTATTAATTTTATTTCGAAATGAATCATCTTAATGAGATTTAAAGTTCACATATACTTGTAATTAGACATAGTGTTCATTTATTTGAATTACGAAACTAACTCTGCAAAGGCGAATAGGATTTGAAGAACTAGATTTGCTCTTTCAAACCGCATGTCATCCCTTTCACTGCAGTGTATCTTTCAACCTTCACAGTGCTTTCAAATTACGCATTGCAAAAACAACAGAAAACTAGCTAAAAATTATAAGTGAAATTACTTGTTTGAAATAATAAAGGCGACGAAGAGTTTGAAGACTAGGTTGCAGCGAATTCGACGAGATGTGTTTCCAAAGAGTGCATGTAGCTCGCTTTTGAGATCTATCGAAATTACTATTTAGACATTCTCAATAAGTTGTTCTTCATGAGAAACTAAAACAATAAAAAATGTGCTAAACTTTCTCTCGCTTTACTCGCGATTGATCTTATAAAATGGTATAACAAATATCTTGGAATAGAATATTTCAAAATGGTCACCGTTTGTTACGCGTCTTTGAATATTTCCGACTCTTATTTACAGAAAGTTCTTTTCCAAAAGCATAATAGTGGCATTGAAAAATAATAAGTTCTTATAGTTTTGATCTTGTCATTTAAGTTCATATCTTAAATCGAATATTTTTTTTTTCTATAATAGAGAAAATAAATATCGTCTCTATACTATATTTATATATTTCAGAATAAAAACAGCAACAATCACGATTGTAAGTAGTATTCGTTTATTTCGAGTATTGTAATAATCTATCTTTAACTTATAGATAATGATGTCCAATGGTCATTTTCTTCTGATGAAGAGTATCAACCACCATTAATTGAACAACTTTATCCATCATCAATGTCATCAGCACGTGATCGAGCTGATTTCGAACTTACTAGAACGGGTCGCATAGATTACTTCTGTGAAAAATATCTATATCTTACAGGTGTGATAGGTACGTCTAACTTCCTTTTAGTGAAACAATAAATGAAGAGTTGGAAATGTTTTTTTTTGGAAAATTTAAATTTAATAGAAATATAAAAAATTCAAAATGATTATATAATAAGATAGTGGTTTATAATTCGTCTGTCCTATAGAAGTAATCTTAATCAGAATTTACAGTTCAATGAAAAATAGCGTTAGTTTTATACTTAACCTAGTTAGTTGTGAATCTTTTTTTCAGTCTAGTCTTTTCTACCACTCGCTTCTGAGAATGAACAGGTTTATCATAAGTTTTAGTTTTTATGCGTTGCACGATGGTATTTTGATTGAGGTATTAGAAATAACAACTAGGATAGTACTCACAGAATTAGTTTCACTTGAGAGAAACATTCTGACATAAATATATGTCAGTATTACAGTCACTCAAATAAAAGAAATGTTTCTATAATACAAATTAAAGAAAATTTTCCTGTTGTGTTCTGTTAAATGGTTTATATTGTCGTTTGTACTAAGATTAATCATCATAAATTGATCTTAGTTTAGTTGGTAAGGGTACCATTATTGTTAAAATTTTCAACTATTGTCAATTATTACTATATACTATAAAAGAAAACAATCGACTGTCTATGCATAGATTCATACAGAAGATGAAACAAGTATAAATTAATAATATTAGATTTAAAATCACATCAGCAATAAACCTTATATGAAATAAAAAATGGTCAAAACTATGATTTATTTCTAGAAAGAAATAAGCACTATAAAGATTTTTCTCTGTCGAACTATTTTGGCAATTTCTAGAGATCCACGAGGCATAGTCATAAGAAAATTCTCTGTTAGAGGAACGAGATTGAAGTACTTATGGTACAAAAATACTGAATGTAAGAAAGTTAATTTATCATTCATTAACCTGTAAAAAGTAGGAAAACCTTTGCTGTGTTTAATATTTTAATAACACAAGTAATTTGATCTTTGTTATGTAATAGACGATTTTGCTATGACTAAATCTAGCAAATTTATAGATGACCTATATATTTATAAATATTTTATATGTTTATAGCTAGTTTAAACTTTTAATCGAAGGATAGAATCGAAAAGGTTTACAAACCATTAACACTTCATAAAAGATTGCACCGGATTTATAATGAGAGATTACGTCATTTTTTGAGACTTTTTGTATGGCTTTAGTCTTCTTATGAAAAATAGGAATGTCGAAAGAAAACATTTGACATTATAGTTCGAAAGAGCATCCGCAATAATCTAGAAAAAGAAGACGCGTTCACTATACTTTACTCTGAAGTAAAACAAGATTTCTAATATAAAAAGAAAACACTTGAGTTTTCGTATTTGTTGGATTTAATCTATCTTTTAATGCTTGAACACATTGTCTCGAAAATTTCTTAACTGACAGAATACTTTGCATTAACAAATATACTATGCTATTATTAAGATCTTGCATTAGAGGGTTTTCTGTATTTTACAAATGTTTGCATCTCGAAGTGTTTCAAAAAGCTGTGTTTTTTTTGAAAAGCAAAAATTATTACACGAAAATATGTTAGTCAAATACAGAACTATCTGCTTACAGGAAAATAATTAATTAAACTAGAAAACTCTATGTATAGGATGGATAAAAATTGAATTGTTCAAAGTTTGTTTACTGATAGTCACATGATGCGCTAAAGATTGTAATATTTTCCTCTAAGATTATTCCTTTCAATCAACATTATTTTAACCCTCAAAAGCTGAAAGGAGATATTTTGACAAAAGAAAAAAAAAACTCAATCTTACTTATAGAAATACGTAAATGTCCCTTCCAATGCACATTCGATCTTCAAGGAATAAATTCTCTACTTTTAGGAATTTATGTAAAAAGAATTTCCTTTTGAGAATAACTTTATTTAAATGTTTTTTATCACGTAGAGTCCATTGAAGCAATATTTTGCATTTTTTTCAACATTTCGGTAGTTTGTATTTGAATATAATGGTTGCTTAGGCTGTGCATATGTGATTAGAATATTTCGATTTTTTAAGATTGAATGTTTCCTTACAAGGAAGTTTTCTTCAAGCGATCGTAATTCACTTAGTAAGTGACTTAAAAGTCAGTCTAACATTCTATTTAGTAATATCACTCAGAAAACAAAAATTTGCACAGTATTCACGTGCAACCAAATTTTTCAAAATAAAAAATGACATTGAAACATTTATGAGTTTTAAAAAAAACTATAGTACTTTCAGAGTCAGTTCTGAATAATTTCTTGTTCCTTCTATGATCTGTTAGGTTACTAATGACAAAATGGTTGTGAGTCGTAGTTTTGATGGATATATTCATGGCTAGTCAATCACAAAAAACATAAGTTCGTTTAAAAATTGTTCCGTCTCTAGAACTTTGTAGAGCTCGTTGTACCAATTATCTTAGTATAATAAATATTCAAGTTTACTCAATTAATAATGGTGCTAAACTTCCAAAGTAGTCAAAAAGCTTAACTATCGATTTACAGCAGTCAAAAATAGTTGAACTTTTTAAAGTATTTTGATTCTAGCTCAATGAGCTGCACAAAGCTCTATCGACGAAACAATTTTCTGAGAACTTTATGTTTTTTTTGGTTGAACAGCTATGGAAGCATCGAGTATAGGAAAATATTGGCTTTGTGTTAACTGTTTTCTTATGTTTTTTTAATAGGATATTCTATTATTATCTTTTTTTATGTTCTAGTTATACGTAAATTCATTCATGAAGCACAAATTAATCTTTCCATGCATCAAGAGAATTTCTACGAATTTCTTCGTTTTATTCGAAATTCATCAACATTTCTAATCGAGATACAAGAAATTGCAGAAAAGATAAGAAAAGAAGATACAAAGGTGAAGATTGAAGAACTGGTAAAAGCTCTAATCAACATTCGATCAAACTCAAACTTCGTAATTATTACTTTTTTCTTTAATAAAAAACTAAACATTTTTCTTTTTTCTAGGTTAATGTTGGTTATGAATCTAAATAATTCAAATGGAACACTTATGATTTTGAATTTATTAAACTAAATTATGATTCCTTATTAACTTATTTTTCTTTTTGATTCTTGATTCTTCTTTCATAAAAAAAAACCAATTCGAACTAAGCAAAATCGAACCAAGAAAAAACAAAAAAACTGTGTCTTCTCCATACACCATACCTTCACTTTTTCATTATGAAGGATGTTATTAATGAAGAAAAGGATGCTTATAATTCAATGCGATAATATTGTAAGAGAACAAAGATAGTATTCTTATGTCAGAAGATGTCTTTTCAGAGATAACATCTACCGGACGAGAAGAATTATAATAAAGAACAATCACGAACCCGACGAAAAGCAGGTGAAAGAGAAGAATAAATAATCGGGATGTAAAGAAAACGAATAATACGAAGCGTTTATAGTACGATGATTATATGTGAAGACAAAGGTTAAGTAGACGACTCAGAGAAATGAAATACAGTATGATAATGAAATATGAAATAATAATGAGATAGGAAGACCATAATTAAAGTCTTACGATGGTACGAAACAATAATAGATAATCTTACATATGAATAAAACAAAAAATTGTTATTTCACGATTAGATGTAGTAGCTAACGATGAAATATATTTCTCGACTAATGGATGATACAATCGATTTAGAATGTAACGAAATAAAGCAGACAAAGAAAAAAGTAATATGAAAATCTCATATTATGTTGTTTTTCGTTTATTTAAATTGATTGAAAAGCAGATGTGAAATTGATAAGAACATAATTAGAAAGGAAGATATGTGAATATTTACTGTTAAGCATGATAGAATGCTGTTATAAGAAAATTTTCTAGGGCGGAAATTATCAATGAAAATAAGCATGTCTAATATCGAATAGAGATCGTATAATTATATATATGAGAAGTCTAGCAGTGAAATCAGTTGGAATTTAATATAAAACTATTCTAATAGCACTTTTAAACATTTCTATAATTTATAATATATCACTTGTTGATTTATAGAGGATACAATCGTAGGTCCTTTCGAGAGAATTTTTTTCGACAAAAAAGAAACGAAAAAAGTTCAAACCTAAGGTGTGGATCAACATAAGGTAACACACCCACCCTTCAAAGCAGTGGAGGAAATGAACCATCAACGGGAAAATCGTTCCCATTTCAGCAGAAATCGAAAAAAGGTAGAAAAATGTATTCATCAATCATTTGCTATTTAATCGGATTTACCCAGAAAATTTTCCGTTTCTGCGGTACTCAAATCGGTATCTTCAACGAACTGTTCCACAGACAATCAAAAATCTTCTTCATTTCTACGTACGCAATGAATGCATTTTATTGATTTCTCTGAGAAATTTTTCCTTTTCTGCTATATGAAATCGAGTCTTGATTTAGGGGTGTCAGCGTTCCCGTTCCTCCGAGTTCCGTTCCCTAGGAACGGGAACGCGTTTGAAAATTAGTTTGCGAGCGTTATCCAGTATTCGAAGATACTCCGATGTGTCTATTTTCTTCGTTTACATCAAGCCACAATGGGTTTCCGGGTTGCTAGGAACGGGAACCCATAAGCGTTTCACGTTCCCAGGTACGGGAACGCACTTGAAAATTGGTTTCTAAACATTAACCAATAATCGAAGATGCTGAGATGTGACTATTTTTTTCATTTTGTATGGGACCATCATGAGTTCCCCATTCTTAAGTATGAGAACCCGTCCTAGGTTCCGCGTTTCCACGTAGGGGAACCTACTCTAAGCTCTGCCTTCTTAGGTAAGGAAACTTGCATCGCGCATCCATCAGCAGGTAGATTTCCGAAAAACGAAACTTCCATACTAAACGTTCCAATTCCAGAAACTACGACCATACAGAATGTAGCCTTCCGAACTTAATCATATAATGATACACATGTTGATATACCTTTTATGCCTTGTCGTTTTCTTCTAAAAACATCACGACTAGTTGATAGAAAGAAAGACCATGTTGATGATGAAACACTCAAGCAATATCGTATTGTTCTGTTAGAAAATGAGAATAATTAGAAGTTAAATTACTTGCCTGAACACAAACCAAATTAAATTTCTTTTTATTTTGGTAGATATTTTGACATAGTCTTAATGTTCCTAACGCTGCTCTATTTTCAAGTAATATTTTATTCTTTCATTAGTATTGCTTAATTTTTTTCGTTGAGTATCTTCACCTGACCAAGCATAAGATTTTGCATACTTTTGACATTTCAAAGCTGTAGAAATACGGATCTGTATTATGAATTTCTAAAATTTGTCTAACTTCGTCCTGTATGTGCATATGCCACAAGACGATTTAGAGAAAAAAGAAATTTCATCACACAAGTGTTGGTGCACAAAGGAAAATAAGATATGAAATGAAAATAAATGAATGAACAATTATTATTAGTCACGTTGAGGAATCGTTATTCAACTATCGTTAGTTACTATATGAAACAAACATTTTCGAAGCAAATCGATAATTCGATGATGTTTAGTGCTCATGCTAATATAATTCTTATTGACTCAAAATGAAAATTTTGAACTTCTTATTTATTATCATAGATTATACCTGGAAAAGTTCATCTAATTTTGCGGAAATTGAATAATTTTTTCAGTAAAGAATGTAATATTCTTTTCGAATTTTCAATTGTAACATCAATCGATAACACGACTGATAAAAATATTCATTTTTAACGACCTGTTCTTCGCATCTGTATACAATGAAAAATCTTTGGAAAATCTATGCGCGAGATATTGGAGGAACTATCGAATCCATCTGAACAATTCAACAGATGGGTCGATGCCGTTTGAACATCAAGATTTAAATTCATTCAGAAACCAATGGCTTAACAAAGAGTATGTTGTAAGAAGTCTGTATCGGTCCAAAAGACTAGTACCATTCATCTCGAGCATTGAGCAATGACTAAAGTGGTTAGAAAACAACGTTACGGATTCTATTCCTCTGATACCCAAATATATGAACTTGATATATTTTCTAAGTTTCCACAGACATTCCTATAAATGAAAAAAAAGACCTATAAGAGTCTACCATTTTGCTCAGTCTCATCCTCTCACTCTTCGTAATTTTTCATCTAAACCAGTGCGTCTATTTGTATCTGTCATACTATTAAGTCCGATCGTGTACTTGATTTTCACGTTTATTTTCTTTTCGGCCTTGTCAACCTCAGTACATCCCAACATAAGGTCTCATCGTGACATCTAGTATATAGTTTGTAATTTGCTTCCAGTTGTTTATCACGCCCACTCACTTTCCTTTCTTTGGTATCTGTATCTGTACCTTCTTATAGTTTTTTGTCGCTCGTTCTCCCTCAGTACCTTCGCTCCTTTCGTTTGGTCTTGCTTTCATTTTCTTTTCGATTCTTGTCCTTGTCTTTCTCTTTTTCTTCCTTCTCTTCTTTTTACTCCTGTTTTCCTTCCCTGTTCATCTTTATATATTTTCTTCTAGTATCTTTTGTACACTTATGAATGATGTCTTAAAAGGTCTACGTACATTAATCCTTTACCCCAACAAAGCATAAAATAAAAAAAAGAGAAAAAAAAATATTCACTTTTTAAGAAAAATATATCATGACAAAATGATCAATGAAAAGTTATTTTACTCAAATAAGAAGCAACACATTTTTATTAGTGAACCAATGTTTTTCAAGAACTTTATCCATCATTCAGTTGCAGTCAATTTTATCTCTTTCTTTTCAAAATTGTCCTGATTTCGTTTGAGCACTTGTAAATGACAATTAGCAAGATCTAGAGACAAGAAGGTAAAAGAATTCTTGGAAAACTTCAAAAGCACTTTTCAAGAAAAGAAAATTAAGCAGTATACGATGAGTGAAATTAAATTCTCTGAAAACGTCTCCGTTCGGTTCAATAAGCGATATTGTGAGAGTGATACCGACAATTACCGTATAAACTTCATATCTTCTATAGTAGCCTGAATCAAACGACGTTATTAAAAAGATATCAGGGTATTATATTAAGAGTACCGTCAGCTCTCAGTGGATCAAATCCATCTCAAGAGGGACTGCAGCAATGAATCTTACGAGAAATATGGTACTGATTTAGTTACTGAAGCAACAAGCCCCAGAAACATTTTATTCCAAGCAGGATAACCCGCCTGAGTTCTGTGTCCTAGGATCCTGTAAATCATTTGAAAATTGGTCTGCACGCATTTTCGATTATCTAGAGGTATTGATACATAATTATTCTTTTCATCTGTATAACGTCACGACGGGTTCCTGGGTTCCCAGGAACGAGAATCCGGACGGGTTCCCCGTTCCTAGGTACGGGAACCCGAAGTGGGTTCCGCGTTTCCAGGTACGGGAACCCGAAGCGGATTCCGCGTTTCCAGGTACGGGAACCCGAAGCGGGTTCCGCGTTTCCAGGTACGGGAACCCGAAGTGGATTCCGCGTTTCCAGGTACGGGAACCCGAAGCGGGTTCCGCGTTCCCAGATACGGGAACCCCGACTGAGTTTTGCGTTCCCCGTTCCTAGGTACGGGAACCCGGTATGGATTCTGCGTTCCCGGGTACGGGAACCCACTCCGGGTTCCCGTACCTCGGAACGGAACTCGAAACTAACACCCCTAGCTACCATCAATTAGTAGTTCCAATGTATGAATTTGATTAGATTGAGAATCATTATAATTCATTTGTAATTCATTTGCAAACATTCGTGGTAAATCATCAGCAATATTTTTCATAATTTGAATTACTGTTGATAACGCATCATATATTGATGTTGGATAATCTTTTGATGTGTGCTCTAAATAGTGAAATCTTGTCGATTGTAAAAAAGCAGTTAACAAAAAAAATGACATGGACCAAGACCATCAGTTTTGATGGTTGTGAAACTAATTTTGGCATCATCATCACCCACTATAATATCAATTTATTTATTTATTTTTACTGAAATAGCAAAATTGGAATTTTATTCAAATTTAGTTTAAGATCTAAAGAATTTATTTACATTTATTTGATGTTGGCATCAGACTCATTGTTGAATTTGATTTTTCACTATCACCACTTTCATCGCCCATTTCGAATCTGTAACAAAAAAACAAATATATATAAAATTTTTTATTTAATATGTGAAAAATTTACTAGAAAAATAAATACGAATTTTTTATTATTCTTATATATTATTTAACAATTGATTTTATTAATAAATGAGAAATTAGTTTTAAAAATTAAAAATGAAATAATATCAATGAACAAGAAAAGAGAGGCTTAGTTTTTTTTTGTTTGCGACAAAATTTTTGTTTTGTCATTTAGAAGAAAATTGGAAGAAAAGTCTTTTCATATCATATTAAAATCTACTGATGAATTAACAATATTTTATTTTAGATAAAGAACATCTATGATTGTTTTAATAAAGATGATAAATTCTTTTTGTTCTTTTTCTAGTACACCAAATATTATGTGTCGTACTGTAGCTAAAGTTAAACATTGTGAAAGAAAAAGAAGATATACTGTCAAACTTCATTCTGTATTTATCTGATTTATTCAATGAAAATTTTTTCTTCTATTTTATTTTATAAAAGAATAAAAATAGAAAAAAATAATTTAGTATTCGTATTCGTTTAATGATTTCGAATGTGTTGATTGAAAGAAAGTTTTGTTAGAAAAAATAAAAAGATACTAGCATATTTATAAATAAATTGTTTTTTTTCTTTCGACGAAAAGTCAATGCTAATACAAACTGATAATACAATTTTTTTTGTCGAATAAATTGTAGGTCAAATAAATTAGATAATTATTTTTCAAACGAAAAATGTTGAAAAATATTTTCATTATTATTTTAATTCATTTTGTTACTAAAAACTCTTTCTGTATATGATTAAAAGCATTACTTTTTTTTCGATATATACTTAAATGAATGAACTGAATAATTCTTCTTCGAACAAAAAGATTTTTAAAGATGCCAAACTCATATCTCGCTGATGTTGTATTGTCATATGATTAGTAATTTATGAATGGACAAGTATTTCAGTACATTACATAACTGCAGGTGTAATTTGATTTCTCTATTTATTGTTTTTATTTTTTAATATTTTTTTAAAAATAGGTAAAAATGACATTCTTCATTTATACCATCATTGAGAGGTTATACGAAATTGGACCGCTTGAGATATTTAACTATATAGCATCTAAAGTTTGACTATAGAATGTATATGTGGAGAAAAGTCTATCATATGAATTTGAATTCTCGTTCTAGTTTAGTTTTCGAAAACATATCAGCTCATATGAAAGTCATCTGTGTCATTTTGGGAGTGTAAAAATCAGTTCAATTGATTTTGAAAAACGAAGTAGCATAAGAGCTCCAGTTAATAGAATCAGTTTCTTTCTATACGTACATTTTACAGTGAAAATCTGGATGTTGTAGCTTAAGCACTTTGGAGAAACAGGTATATTTCTATTATATCTATGTTGTCATATATGTTGCATGATCTTTTGAACTTTCATAAATTCTTCTTGTTTTATTTGATATTAAACAGGTATTGCGTTACTAATTGGTAAGGATGGACATATATATATATACTCTTGTGCTATTATTTCTAATTCATGCCAGTTTCTCCCTCTTTTCGTTATTATAGTAGCACGTTCAATATCACTGAAATATCTCGTTTTTGCTGTAGGTATATAGTGTACTAAGATACCAACCTTTCATATATTACTAATTATAGGATGTGGGTGGGTGTGAGTGTGGGGGTGGGGGTGAATATCTTCATCACATACCCCCCCCCCTCCCGCGCGGGGGCACACGAGGAAGATGCTGCACCTCTGCTAAACATCCTTAATGTCGATATACATAGAAAATTTGATCAAATTTATTCATATAGAATAATACCAAAAGGTAAAGTAGGTGTGAATAAAGACTCCAAAAGATATGCACTTCTATCATACGTATGTTCAATATTACCTGTGTCTTGTGATTAGAAAACCATTTTTTGATGCGAAATCTGTATGTACGATTAATAAGTACAATTAATATTAATACACTAAAAACATTGAATATAATACCAAAACAGATAAAAACTATACCCATTAGAATATACCAGAAACCGATCGGACGTGTCAAACCATCTTTCTATAGAAGAAAATATATTTATAGTGATTAGGTTTATAGCACTGAAGAGAATTTTGATTTGATGTTGTCATCTCGTTTCCTCTTGTATCTCGTCTCGTTTTACGAAAATCTAACAATTAGTTTTCTGTTCACCTTTCACATAATTTTGGAAGTTGCTTTGAATTGTTCATTATTTCATCAAATGAATTTTCCCATTGAGTAGGGATGCATCAGTTCCAGTCCTGACTGGTGAACTGGGTCCCAGTCGGACTGGGACCTAGTCACGACTGGGTACTCAGTCATTCGATCTTTAGTCGATTAGCCGAGTAGTACTTTCTTCTTTTCTAGTATATTGTCATACAGTGATTCTTCGGCTGTTGAAGTACTGATATAAGCTATAACACTGAATCCATTGGCTAATCATATATTTCTATATATCAATTGTTATAATTTAGAATACTATAAATAAATTTCATGTCTTCAGAGTGTGGGTGAGTGGATGGGGGTGTTGTTTGGATGTGGGAATGGTTAGAATGACAATAACGACACCCATACCAACATCAAACCCACACCCACACCCGCACCCTTAGAAAAGAGGGAAGTACTGATCGATTAGTGGAATAAACGTCAAATGACTAAGTACCCAGTTACTGGCACTGGTGCATACCTAGATTTGATCATTTCTTCTTATAGATAGATGATTCTTGCAAAATAAAGCATATGTGCATATAAGTCACTGCACGAGAGACACGATCTAGCGTCATAGGAAACTGCCCAATCAAGTTATCAGATTAGTCCGAAACTTCTATAATCCTATAGAACATCTTGTTATAGATATAGGACCCAATTTTTAGCCTTGTTGGAGTTTTCTTGATCGAGATATTAGAATCCTCCAAATGAATTTTGCATAACAACAGTTGAGGCGAGCCACTACAGAAGAAACACGATAGATACTGTTCGGTTGAATATCCCAAACTTCTACTGCCACTCTCAGATGGCGTTAAGTGAATTGGTTTTGGGGAAAGGTTTGAGCAACTTTGACTCGGCTGATCTGGAAAAAGTCTGTTTCGAAAATTCCTAGGATGAGCGCTCAGGGTATGTCATCTTTAAATAGACTGTCTTCAGATCGGCTGAGTCAAATTCGCTCAAACATTTTTCCTGAACACTATTCACTTAGGACTATCTGAGGACGGTAGCAGAAGTTTGGGATCTTCGATTGAGCAGGGTCGATCATCGCTCTCGTGCAATAACTCTTATGTATGTAGTATCCTGTTCAATTTAATTTGATATCCAATTGAATAGAATTGATTTCATTGATATAATTACTTGCTGAGTTGGAATTCAAATGTCACACATGTACAATATTATCTGTTCAATTCTATTAACATATTATTCAAATAGACATTGGACCTCACAAAGATAAATATAAAAAACAACGTCGTTCAATATAAACGACAATTTCTTATGTTGATATTTCACAGATTTCTACAGAAAAAATGACAATTTTATGGACAAAAAAGTATTAAGAAAATTGACTTTTAACATGAGTTCTAAAGAGTCTTGAATACTGCATTCTCCAAAGAATGTCTTCCTATGAGTAGAAACCATTTAAGTGACAAGTATTAATAGATTCTGAAGTAGAATTTTATTTTTAAGATCTTTTTCTCCTTCAGTAAGAACATAATATACGTAATTTTCTTTTAGAAAATAAATCGAATTTTTCACACTTACTCTGGCCTTGATGCCGCCTTTAATAATAACAAAAGAGCCTCCAATACACATGCTTATTATTAATACGTCATTAGGAATTGAGTGATTAGGTCCCATTATGTATTGTTTATCGTTTTCATTTTCCTTTGAATAAAACAAAATATAATTAGAATTGATGACAAAATAATGAACGAAATTTTTCATTACACTCTTTTTATAATCTCATGTCAAATTCAAATCGTTGAGAAGATTTATCATTAACATGGCGATTTCTATACACTAGAGATTTTCAAGGAAAACAAGTCATATGAGTATATGCAATGATATTTATTGCTTTTCTAGAGCATTGTAATGTAAAGAAAAAAAGAAAGATCGTAGATATCTGTTTGACTTAGTTTTTTCGATTATCTTTCCAATAGTCATATTACAAATCGCGATAAAGATACTCACCATCGCCCTTTCTTTCTAATCTATTTTTCGTATCTTAAGAGAGTTTTTTATGATTTATATTATGAAAGAAAGAATTCAACTATGAACCTTTCACGTTCACATGAGTTCTATTCATTCTAGACATTTATCAAGAACAGATTGTAACTAAAAACACTCCAAATATACTAAGTAATTCTTTCATTTCCAATCTAAACAGTTCTATTCTGTTTTGATCATCAGACTCAAATCTTCTTCCTTAAATGAAAAAAGAAAAAAAAATGTTTAAATGAACTTACAATTGCATCATAATTCATTTGAACAACCATTATTGAATAAATATTGTCAAATGAAATATCTAAAATAAATAAATAAAAATGATGAGAAAAAAGAAGGCAAATATCTTATTCAGTAAATTCAAATAAAGAAATATGAGACAAATGAAGATCAGAGATTTCATTTATTTAAAATATCTATTTAAAATAAATTCTCAATTATTTAGACAAATATTAGAAAAGATTTATGACAATAAAGAGTGAGATTTTCATCTTATTTGAATAAAAAATTCAAATTCTTTATTATAAACGGAAGAAAAAGAAAAATATTTTATAAATAACAAATATTTCTTCATTATATTAAGAGATTTTTATCTCATTTAAAATATGAGAAACAAAAAAGAAAAGAAATTTCTCAAATAAAATAATGACCCTGTTGTTCCCTCGACTGAAGAGAGGGTGATATGAAAAAAACTGAAATGCGTTTGTGTGTTTGTCGGGGTCAAAAGAACATCAGGGTCAAAAAAAAACCATTGCTCGGAGACCAATGGTCATTGTTTTCGACATCTGCGTTTCGTACAATCAGATTCTTTCAAGCTGAAAATTCAGCCAATCAGAGGTTTTCGATATCGAACTATCGACCAATCAGATTCGTTCAAGCTGAAAATTCAGCCAAGAGATATTTCACGGATGAGTATAAAATTAATCAATCGAGGGGCAACAGTCCTACATTTTTCTGATCTTTTGGACATCCATGATGAACAATGAATGCTACAGTTTCAACAATAAATATTATTTTGAAAAAATAAAGAATTAGTTAGAATCAAATGTTATTGTAGCATCAGTAGCATCCCACACATCGGCGAATTATTTGACAATGATTCCCAAGATGAATAGAAAGAGTCAGTCGAGGGCTAAGCGAGTCGTAGCAATGAGCGTTATCTTGTTTTTATTCGTATAAAACAAAAAGAAAACAATTTCAAATATAAGAATTCTATCATATTCTTTTCTTTCGAAAAAAAAATCAATCACATTTATTCATCATTTTAGTCTTTCAACATATAACAAATACTTAATATCAAATTTGATAACATTTATTTATTTAGCATTTTTCTACTTACGATTATATATATGAATAAAATAATGATCATATGAATAATATAAATATTCGAAGAAAATAATTCATTATTCAAAAGTGAGAAATCGCACGTTGGTTTTTTTTTTAATGAGAAAACTCTTTCAAGAAAAATAATTAAATGAAAAAAGAAAATTTGACACAAACTTAAAGTTACTTAAAAGAAACAAAGTTAATTTTCAATGAATAACATGTTTGATTAAAATGATCGTACAATTCAAAATATTGCAATCGTCTAAGATATGTTCAACTCTTCGAAAAAAGATATTGACTCACTCTAATGTTCACATGAAAGTGAGAAACATAACAAATATTTGATATAGTTTTTTTCTATTTTTCTATATGATAGAAAACATATTACATATAATAATGTTCAATAAGGGCTTTTATTTCCTGAAAAAAAAAACAAAGAGAGAGAAGAGACAATGATATTCATGAAAATGAGCAACAAGAGAATATAGGATAGAAAATATATCTAATAAGAAAATGTTAAATAGAGGACGTTAGTTTATGGGTCATTAATTAACATAAAACTAAGTCGATCGATCCACACATAATTATCAATTATATTTATCATTTAGAATTTTATCTATTTCTTGTTTACTTTGTAAACATGAGTACTTCGTATATCATTTTACATTTATTTTCGATTTAGTATTAGTATTACACACTTGCTTGAACATTTATTTCGAATACGTATTAGGTAAAACTCTTCTACTGATGTAATTAAACTGATTACCACTGGTTTTCTCATGACGAATTGTAGAAAGCAACTAAAGATATGTGAGATTATAATCTAAATTCAGAACGATTATATACCTTGTCGTCTCGGCCGAGATTGTAGAAGAGTAAGTTCGTAGAAATTCGTGCCAAAAAAAAGATTATCGAAAAGAAAGAGCAGTGATCTGAATATTGCCGAAATAGAGATCATCGATGGAATAACCTTGAAATGCAGATCGCCGAAAGATTTTCGCTAATAGGCATTGATGATCTTCATTTTGATGATCAATCTTTTATGTTCAAGATTCATACTAGATTTGGACAGAATTACAGTTACGGGTTTAGAGTTATAAGAACGTTGATGTCGTTCTTTATTATTAGAGGTATAAGTCGATGCCTCGATCGGCGAGGGTAGCTCCGAAATTCTCGGCCTTCGGCGGTGATGGCTGAGAGATCTTTAGAATTTTCCATTCATCGACGGCTGCGACTTAGCCGCTCGGCTTACACCTCTACTTATTATAGTGTAGAATGGCAAAAGAAGGGTACGCTGATACGATGAGTGAGAATCTTATTATAATTTTTTCGCTTTTAATGGTGAAATATACCGAGTAGGCCAGATTAAATAAGTATTTTTTATTTCTTGAATAACTTAGTCATTTTTAACCTGATCGAGCTCAACTTTTTTCATTAGATTCGACATGTCTTCTTCTAGAAAAATATATATTTTTATGAATCTAAATAGTTAAAATCATTTTATTTCAAACGATACAAATGATTAGTCTAATTTGCACAACTTTCAAAAATAACTTCTGTTCTAACTTTCTTCACAGCATGTTTTAATTCATCCATTAAAGTTTTTCTTAACTATATGTGTATTGTATATTCCACTGATATTAAACATTTTTCATTGGACAAAATACAACCAAAAAAAAAAGTTAGAACAGAATTTATTTTCGAAAGTTGTCCAAATTGGACTAATCATTTGTATCGTTTGAAATAAAATGATTTTAAACTATTTAGATTAATAAAAATATATATTTTTGTAGAAGAAGATATGTCGAATCTAATGAGAAAAGTTGAGCTCGATCAGATTAAAAATGACTAACATTAGATGCGAAAAAATTCCTTTTGTTATTCGTAGAAATGCATAGGCATTGGTGTTCTTTGCACAGTACAGTAGGCATATCTCAGTTCGGAGAGAATGAATTCTGTTCGAATTTTCAGCGCTTCTAGCCCTAACTACAATGCTGCTTTTCTGTAAGTTTCACCTTGTGGTAAGGCTTCCTTGTTGAGATTGGAATGTATCACTAAAAAGTAGGATTTGAAATTTTGCTGAAAAATTCTGAAGTTTTAAAGTTTCTACATAGTTTTAAACGTAGTTAAAAACTTCAAAATTAGCATAACTTTTAGAACATTTGATCCTCTATCCAGCTATGTGTAAATCATTTTGTAAAATTTTGAGATCAACGACATCAGCTATCATCTTTGAATCGTATTCTGCTATTTTGTGAAATGTCATGTTTTTGCCATAACTCAGCTGTATGCAAGCCTTTTGGGGTGAAACTTTTACTGCCCATGTATCTCTGTGATACCTATTAGTAGCCCGAATTTCATTGAATTTGGAGCAATTTTTGAGAAACAGCGGTGCCCTTTCTCTCATCTTTTCAGTAAAAAGTCTTTCACATGATATATCCATTTCATCTCCTTCAATTGTTGGATTGTCAAAATCATCCTATATACATCTAGCATTATTGGATCACTTCCACATCTTCCAGCTCATTGATGAATTTGACTAATCATATAATCATTTTCTATTGTAACTGGTTCTTATCTTTAACCCGTTCGTTAATCTCTTTTTATTCATAGATGTTTTAAAACAATTCTATCGATCATTATTTCAATATATTTAATGAAAAGTACCAACACAAAGGGCTCTACTTCATTCTCAATGTTAGGATAGAAATAATTTGTTCATATCAATAAAACTCGCAAATCTACACATATCTATTGATATATTATTCTAAACTATTTTATTCAAAGAATTAAACAGATGAAAAATGAAAACATCCTCAAATTACTCTTTTTTTTAAATCTATTCTCAATCAGCTCGATTGATTTTACTCCAAAAAGAAGCTATGACATTGAAAATGATTAAATATTCAATAAGAATGGAATTTCACAAAAGCTTCAAAATATTTCTTGGTGTTTGTTCGTTCGGGAGATTTTCGGAAACGTCTATTTGCCTTTGTTATTCTTTCAATATTCATTTGCTCATTTTTTCTGTAAAAGTCAAATTACAAAAATGCAGAATTTGGAGTTCCATATCGGTCGTTGGGAATATTTAATAAAATAACATTGAAAGACTTTTTGATAATGAACGTCTTTGTTAATGATTGTTGTGGTTTGAAAGGAAAGAATATGAAACAATCAGATGGATGTCTTTTAAATCCAATTATTGAAAAAAAAAATCAAAATTGACTTTTAAATATACAAGTATTGATATTGAAGTCGATCAGGATGAAGATAGATACATAAAGACAGACAGAGGAAGAAAGAGAACGAGATAATCTTCGATTAATATTCCTCGTTATCCTGCTTATCTGCGAATATAATTTCTATTCCACTTTCGATTCATTTCGTTCATATATTTTCGCTTTCTTCACGTCGATTATCTTGTGTAAAAATACCAAAGAATCAACATTTTTACACAGATCTATGCTAAAGGAAGTTATTGTGAAAAATAACCCTTGTAGAGAGTCACAGTCAAATAGAAAGAGGATGTGTCGCGTTTTGCTTGATTTAGCCCATATATTATTTTAACTATAGTTCGTTATCACAGGATATTATATTTCCCATCTCACATGGTGATGATCCTTAAGCAAGGTCGAAATGTATCGTAAGTAGTTTGGAAATATATTGTTCTTTCCAAATACACACATACCCACACCGCTCACACGCGAAGAATATCAGTAGAAAGAAACATTTTAATAAGGAAAAACTAGTCACTTATTTAAATTTTACCATAGATTAATGACGCCGTCTATACTAACTCTTTGTAAGGTAAAAATGATCTCCTAAAATACATCAGAACATATAAAACTAGTCTAAGCTTTATTAGGATTAGTATAAAATAACGTTGTCAAATGCAGAAAAAACTTTTCAGCAGTACAACAAATACAAATCCTCTACAATACTAGAT